ACATACTAGTATATAAAATCAACAATCCCCAAGTATTAAACTACCATATATAGATATACCTAGCCAGAGGAAAGTAACTTATGAAATAAAAAATCCTCTTCCAAATTGAATTCAACAACTATACCAAGCAAAGTGAATGCCCTCTTCTATAAAGCCAAATTAAAACTCACACCATAGAATGAATCAAAATTTCCATCTAGATCAATAGTACTTTCCCAGAGTAGGTGCACAAAGGTTACAAAATAAATGAAGGTAAGGAAAATACCTACACTAGATTTAAATTTAAGCATCATCGACCACAATACTTTCTTCAATGTCAGTGAGCCAGGAGGTACCTATCGTAAATCACTCATAATATTGACATAACATAAGAGATGAAACCCAGAAAAGATTTACCATATTCAGAAGCCCAGACTTTAGACTCTAAGGATGATTGATCAATAATGCTTCAAACTCTAGCATATCAATTAACAAACCTTCAATTCTTCCCTAAAGAGCCATCACCAATCCAATAGCGAAATTCATTGTCTACTTTGCCCCTTTCCTTGATTTCATCACATAAATTAGGGTCTCTAAATCTTGCAACTCTATTGTTTGTAATCCCAAGCCTGCCATTAATCTGATACTCTTAGACATCCAAAATAGCAATGGCAACCCCAGTCTTGGAGGAACTCACCTTAGATCAACAGCCCCAACAATTGATGTGAAATCATACCAGATTTGCATGGTTAGATTGTTTACCCTAACAAACACTCTCCTCTACTCATGATTTGCATTAGAGAAAACACATACCAAACCTGTGCACACACCAACCCACTTAGCCAACATGAACCCCTACTCATTCCCAGTACAACCCAAGAAAAGAGGATCGATGATCATAATGCAACCTCTAGGTGAACCCTCTAGTGATGAGGGAAAGGGAAAGGGAAAATTGACAACCCACTTACATTAAGGAAACTCCAGGAGAGAAAAGGGAAATTTGTTGGAGATGATGAGAATTGATACTTCCTTAAGTAAGGGGATAAGTCTCACATTGTTGAAGGATGTGATTCTTTTATTTTTTATTTTTGGTAAGAAAAGAGATGTGAATTTTGAAATAGCTAATACTACTTCCAACATTGGATTCACTATTTTGGCCCATAAACCTTTAGTTCATATTTTCTATTTCCAAGAATAATGTTGCAATCCTAAAGAGAAATAACAAGGAATATTAGACTCTGGGTCCAAATTACTTAGATGGTTTACTTCAAAAATTTTGAAAAGTTATAATCATTTTTTTAAGTTTTAAAAATTTCTTTTCCTCCCCCTTCAAACAAAATTCATAGAAATTTAGGATCATCAGAAATCACCCTATATTTATTTAATTTTTTAAATTCCTATTGAACTACTATGTATTTTCTTAAATCATAACAAGTAATCATTGGAAAAGGGTGAACATGATGAAAGCGAGGCCGTTGTGTTTATTTGTTTTCTTGAATAAAGTATTGTTCGTAATGGAAGAAACAAGAGATAGAGCATTCATGTAGTTAATGGTAGTGTCCTTCTGTTTGATTTCATGTTTAGTACCTTATTTAGGCTAAAATTGAAACGGCACCTATTCAAAAGGTCACTACGATCATAGCAAGAATTAGCTAATTGAGTGAAGCGTCAAGCCTAATAAAGAATCCAATAATGATAGGTTTGGTGCACAATATAATAAAATGGTTTGACTAAGCAAGCATAGGTCCTTGAATTTCTTAAGACTCAGAACTACTAGCTGGACCGTTGCCTTATATGAGATTTTGATCTAAACTAGCCTTGAATCTTGCAAGATTGTGACCCTCACCCACAAATATTTTGAAAACGTGGGCTGGCAGTTACAAACAACCAACACGGCTTGTGCACACTATAAATAGAATAACAGGAAGAGAGAAGGAGGACATGCAAAAATACTTTGAAACTCTAAGGAGCTTTATTAATCATTAACTTTTAGCATTAGTTTACCTTTTTATTTAGTTTATCTTATCAATTTATCCATTGTAATTTTATGCTCATGTACTATGTTTAATCAGACTTGTTCCATCTGTTTCAAATTGTTCCATTCTAGCACACTTGGTACTTCGATTGTTTGGTAGATTTGCTTTCTAAACGCGAACACACTCCTACATATGAAATGCATATTCATCCAGCCCCGATAATCAAGGAAGGATAGTTGAATACGATAATTATCGCATATAGATATCAAGCCTTCAGCTCTGCACCAGGAATTCAGGCCTTTTGCGCAGATGAATGATTTAGGCTTTTAAAAAAGCGGCAGTGTTTGCTGCATAAAGTGAAGAGAACTTGCATCGAGTGAACATTCAGTCTAGTTAGAGTAGTATTAAATAATTCGAGTCCCGGACATGATGAAAAAGTTGCACTGTGATTATGCCATAAATTCCTCTACTTCATGCTCTCAAAATCTGGACGCACAATGCCATTAGATTATCAGTCCAAGGACATTCAAGTATCTCGGGCAGGTTTCCTGTCGGCAATTTGTCTCATGTTCTTTCCCCCCATGTTTGCTCATAACAAATTTAATAGGTCCCCTGCTGGAGAGAGTGTGCCTGGGTGTACTAACGGAATTTGTTATCAACACTAAAACAAGAGTAGAAATAGAAATTATAATTTTAGTGCTGATTTTCGCCTAAAAAGATTCCACAATGGATGACCTCGGATCTATCACAGCACCCAGTGGCGGGATCTCTGGCAGACCAAAAACTATAGCTTTCAGGATAAAAATTAATCAATAATGTCTTTTATAATATATTATCAGTACACGTAAACAGCCACCAGTCGGTTTTTTGGTGGATTCAATTGAATTTTAAATTTTTAATATACTATATCATCGTGTAATGGAAGAAAAACGAGCTCAGTGCAGACTTAATAGAATATTGATCACGCGGACGTAATTCGAAAAATTGAGGGGAAACCGGGAATTATATGTTGTGTACAAGCCTACATGCGCGCAGGAGTATCTCTTCATACATTACAATCAAACCAAGACTAAAATGAAAAGTATGTGCAAATTGATATGAATAGCACAGTCACCAATGTAAAAGCTAATTATTGATATTAGTGATGAAAATCGAAAAATTAATAATATATACTCACTTTATTAAAAAATATAAGACATGTTTAACTAAATTTCACTTTCAATAAAGTAGTTACCTAATTTCAAATTAATTTTTTTTTTTTATATTTATCTCTATTAAACACCTTACAATAAATATAAAGTTCTTATAAATAGAGGTACTTTAAAAAAAATAATGATTACAGTTCAAAAATTAAAAATAACTTATATTTTTTAACATTTAATTTTTTAAAAAATATTTTATATTTTTTAACGAGCAACATTGAAGTGGAATAATTCGTGCGATAGAAGAAATTAAATTCGTCAATGGCCGTGTTCTTGCTGTCGGACCAATCAAGGTTCGTGCACTCATGGCATAACAATGGCCTACTAATGGAGGACGAGGGCGGAGGACCATGATTCACCGGATGATGAGAATCTTGACTAAGAAAAAAAAAAATATCACATCCCCATCTATTATACAAGCCACTTTTAATTAATAAAATAAAATTAAATTATTGATAAGGAAACACATAAAGATTGATTCCTATATTTTTAAAGTTATTTAGTAATCCCTCTAGTTTATTTTGTTTGTAATATTAAACTTTTTATTTTTGAATATGCTTAAAAGGATGATAAAGATATGTATAACAATGTTAAATATACTAACCTATGAGTTGTTGAGATGAAATTATAATTCAATAGATTAGCAATATTGTCCACTAGTTCTGTTTTATATTTCATGTTCCAGTTTGTTAAAACATAATTCCATTTCAACATAAAAATAAACAACATTAATCACAGTTTAACATATTTAACGACATCAGTGTCATCTTATATTCCTTTTGGGTATATTAAAAAAATAGAGACATTAATGTTATGGGCAGGATAAACTAAATAAATTCGAAGCAACAGAAAAAAAATACAAAACCTATATAAAATATTTTTTTATTCTATTTATAAGTCATTTTAAGTATATTTCATTGAAAGTAAGAAAAAATTTAAATTTTATTAATTTTATTTTAATATTTAATAAGTTTTTACCACTACTTCTAACAGAGATAAAAGTAATTATTCTAATAATTTTTTATATCATTTAATTAAAAACAAAAAAGTAAAGATGAAGATGTGAAATAATAAAATGCTTTATAAATAAAATTAAAATTAATATTCTCCCACAACCATTTAAACATGACTCATGGTTGTGTTTTCCTTGCCGGTATTATCTGAAAATTTTATTAATTAATTAATTTTATTAAATTGAGCGCGAATGATAACTGTAACAATTTTAAAAATACGTACTGTAATAAGTCAACACAATCCAGTCCGTCTTTCACAACATTGAGGGAGGGGGAGGACAGCGATTTAGCCAATGACGTACTACAGTAAAAAGGCCGCGGAATCTCGGGAGATGGTAGAGCGCCACACATGGCTGGGTCGGTCGGCCATATTTAATTTACTATGATGTTCTAATATTCATTTTTTCACCCCCAAAATAAGAAGAATTCGAATCTGTTATAAAAACATATGAATCATGATGCTTAGTTTTGCCCCCTTCAATCTCTCCCTCTTTTTCAACCAAAATATCTTTTATTGAGTAACGATACTATTTTTCTATGTTTTTAATAGATTTAGTCATTTAGCTAAGCAAACGCGCCCAGCAGCAAGTGCAAGGAATGGTAGGAATGGAGATTATAGAAGAGAGTAATGAATGAACCACTTTCCACGTCAAATGATCCGGTCACATGCAGAACCTCAACCGCGAGTGGGACCCAGTCAGTGGTAGCTCCTGTGAATAAACACACAGCCTCTGGCTAATGAAGTCAAGGACCTAATTATATACCGGGAGTGGGACCCACCCTCCCCCTCCTTTCGATTAATAAAACCACCAAAAGCCCTCCTTACCTTGCCGCCATCATTTTATAACAGTCTCTACACTCTACCCATCAGCTTCTGCCGCCACCAAACTGTCGGCAGTTCCCAACTGTTTTCCCGCCTCCAGCGCTCAACGGAGCTCAGTTTTAGAACTTTCAGCTGTGGCGCCTTCCCTTTATTATACAATGCACCCCTGCCGTAGATCTGCCGTACAGTTTTTACGCTGCTGCTTTTACTTGGCGCTGAAAGCTTCCCTGGTATGCTCGTTGGAACAGCTTCAGCACCACCGCATCCCGCTCCCCGACCCGCATTGGTACCAGGGCACCGCCACCTGGTATGGAGACCCCGAAGGCGATGGTAGTACCGGTAATTCCCTTGCCCGCAACTGCATTATAGTTAATTTCAAGATATTAAGTTTTAGAGTATGCTACATTAGCTATAGATTCGAATTTCGTTGATTTTTGCTATTACATTTTCTTTACAAGATTTCATTGAGTGAATGAGTTTGTGTGAAGGGGGAGCATGTGGGTACGGTACCTTAGTGGACGTGAGGCCATTGAGAGCAAGGGTAGGGGCTGTGGGGCCCCTGCTGTTCAAGAACGGCCAAGGGTGTGGAGCGTGTTATAAAGTGAAGTGCTTGGACGACAGCATCTGCTCGAGGCGAGCCGTGACGGTGATAATAACGGACGAGTGTCCGGGGTGCCCCTCCGACCAAACCCACTTCGACCTCAGCGGCGCCGCCTTTGGGCGTTTGGCTTTAGCCGGCGAACATGGTCAACTCAGGGACCGAGGTCAAATCCCCGTCATTTACAGGCGGTACGTATATATACTATGCCCAGCGGTGTAGACTGGTTGACTTTTCTCCACTAGGTAGAACCGTAAATATTGACATGTCACAGTGTCTCTTTTGTCTTTTGCTTCTTCTGGTCCCTCTGACCTCAGGGTAATTTGCCTCGGGGTAATTCTTCAGATATGATGAGCATGCCATTGAAATTTCTTTCCTATCTCTGAGGAATCAAAACTGCAAAACATACATTATTAAAAAAAGGACGGATAGGACTATTTGACTAGTTCATTTATTTTTAATTTCTTCATTGGCACAGCTTGCTTTAAAAGGAAAAAGTTGATCTCTAGTTTCATTCCCCTGTTTCCTCCTGTTTGTGCACCGCTGAGTTCTAGATGTTAAATTCACATTGTAACATTTTCAATTTCAAATTCACAAGATTGAGAAAAAATCTGAATGAATAATGTCCTTTTGGGATTGTATGCTTGCAGAACACCATGTAAATATCGAGGCAAAAACATTGCCTTCCATGTCAACGAAGGTTCTACGCCTTTTTGGCTTTCACTTTTGGTGGAATTTGAGGATGGAGAGGGAGATATAGGCTCTATGCATATTCAAGAAGTAAGCATCTTTCCTCTATTATTCACAATTCTTTGTCTAATTTTTGGCCCCGTGTAGTTTTTCATTTACCATCTTATAAGATTACGAGGTTGAAAAAGACAGGAAAGTGAACAACCCTGAATTTCTGGAGCCTAAAATCAGATGCCATTGCAACTAATAGCTTCTTGCTTTATTTAATTGAAGCGCGACCCACGAACACTGCATGTTAGGAACACTGCTTCTTGATAACTGTTGCGGATTTGACCAAAAAGTACTGCTTAAACGTGCACTAAAAGGCTTTTGTGGGGGATGAAGGCACTAAAGCGTTATGGACATTCACCTTAATGATTAATTACAACTTTAATGGCGATAGCAGGGAGCACCCTTGTTTTAGGTAACAATGGCAGGAGATTTTGTTATTTCATATTGGGGATGGACAAATCCATATAGTGAGGACGTGTCTCCTTAAGATCATGCGCAAGCTTACCCTATAACTCAATCCTTCAGTAAAAGAGAATCGCATAGTAAAAATTGAGATTTATGAGGTGATTGTCTTGCTGCTTTTTCCTGTAGAGCAAGTGACCAGGGATCTGTACTGAAAATCATATTCCCTCCTCTTCTCCCCCGTTTATGTAATACCTGTTATGTGGGTCCTGGAGATTGCATAAATACTTGAAACCAAAGCCTCAATCTTGTCATACCTGCAAATCTTACTTATCAAGTAATGCGAGTGACTAACTTTCTATTTTGGTGGTTTGTGATTTTGGGAATGACAGGCAGGGTCTCTAGAGTGGCTAGAGATGAATCATCTGTGGGGCGCAAATTGGTGCATTATTGGTGGACCTTTGAGGGGACCTTTTTCAGTGAAACTAAGCACATCCACTGGGAGATCTCTGTCTGCCAGAGAAGTTATTCCAGGCAGTTGGACTCCAAAAGCTACTTACACATCTCGTCTCAATTTCTACCCTTAGCAATGTTACAAGAAGAAGCACCGACAAGTTGCAACCAAAGGGTTTGATAAGCAAGCAGTCAATCACCTTTTTCCTAGTCATAGCTAGCCAAGTTCCATAATGCAAAGGCAGTCTTTTGGGCTTGAGCTTCCCATCTTTGTTTCCCACTCTTACTGTAATATCTTTTCTTCCATTCGGTTTTTTAGTAAGAAAAACAAGAGCTCGAGTGCGCAAGGGCATCCAATGTTTCTTCCTTTTCTCATTTTTAAAAGCAATACCTGCTTTTATGGCGTGCAACTCTTGGTAGCAGATTCATGTAGCCCTCTCCAAAGCGGAGAGAGAGCGTTTAGTAGAAACCAGTATGTACCTCTTTCCCTTGCAAAGCAAATGCATTGTGACTCGTGATGTGAGTTTGGGTTATTATAAAAAGCAAATGTATTGCAAAACAATGTCATTAGACTTATTGCCTTGTTAATCTGAGGAAGAAACTTCCGTTCTGGGTCCCTGCCCCTGGTTTGCTTTATTTGTACTAGTTAACCCACATTTGCAACCTTAATTAATTCAGTTCAATCAAAGCAAAAACAGGGCCACGCAATCAGTCTATCCTGCAATTACTCGAGCTGGTGGATTGTAACCAACTAAACCAAAAAAAGTGCAGAAAGCAATTACAGCTGAGATTATAGATTATTATGTGGTTCCTTCAGGTAACACAACAATCAACACGGTGGAAAGAGGCCATGGTATTCCCCAGCAAAAATAGCAGCACAGTTAGAACAAGAATTGGGTGATTGGCAGAATTTAATAGAGGGTTCCATATATAGCACGAACGTTGACAAACTTGTTGCTGGATTTAAGAGGGGAGTCCTTGAGTCATCTATCCGAAGATTCTAACGTGAGGAATGTATGAAGGTGGAGTGATGAGTTGCTTATATTCCAAAAAAAGCTAAGTTAATACTAATATAGTATTAATGATAATCTAGGTCATTCTTTAATGAGGAGGCTAACTAAAGTTACTTACATGTGAGCAAAACTAATCAGGAATTGGTTGATTTTTACCAATTACACTAAGTGGACAAATTTAATTAAAAACCTAATTAACTTGTGAAATAGAAATAGAAGTGTTTTAAACCTTTCTAAAGTGGAGTTTTAGGAGTTATGAGATGTCAAATTCCTTGTCTATTTTTTTCAATTAAGCTTAGGTTAATTTTCATTCTCTTGATCGAATTAAACCCTTATACAATTTTGCATAAGTGTGCCTTCCTAACCAATTCAATTAATTAAGTCATTGCATAATTTTATACAAGTTCCCAATCAATTTCTTAGCTAGGTGTAAAGTGATCAAAATTTTCCTTAAGTTCCCTTTAAGTGCAGCTTGACCTATGGTAATTATAATGCATAATTTTACACATAAGACATTTTATCAAACACTAATCAAACACATTTATGTATAGTCAATGTAAAATACATTCAACACACATAAAAAATATATTTATATGAATTACAATTTATTGAAAAAAAATTTTAGCAACTCTACAAAAAATAATCAAGTGAAAAAATAATAAACTGTCAAGTTAAATATCAATTTTGATCAATAGAGACAAGATATAACAATTTTCTTAATTTTAAGAACAAGATTACATTAACCTAGTTTTAATGGAGAGTGGCCACGACCTTCATCCTTCCTTGAGACATTTCAAGACTCTTTTAGCATCCTTCCCTCCTGGTACTCCTCATACTCCTTATATATTTAGTCTCTAATCATCTTGAAATTCATTTGAGCATAATCCTTTTACCATGGTTGAACTATACTCATGAATACCTTGAGAAAAAACCAAACCAGAAAACAAAACATTAAGGTTTGATGTGTGATATAAGAGAAGAAGAATGATAGAGTTGGATTAGAATTTTGATGGTTAGATCATGAGTGATGGAGGAGAGAAGGTGAGATAGGGATAGAGAGAGAATGGAGAAAGGTAGAGGTTGCAAAAATGTTGAATGGAGGCGGAATGAGTGCTGAAAATGAATTAGGATAGTTTGATTTTAGTTTAGAGTGAAAGGACCCAACTCTAATATTAAGTAAATGGGTGAAAAATGAGTTAGAATAACTTTATTATTTATTAAGGTAAAATAGACGAAAATTTAGAGTAAAAACGGTCTAAAAATTGAATTAAATAAAGATAAAGGTAATGAAAAATTAAGAGAGAGAGTAACTGAAATTAAAGTGTGGTACAATGTGTGCAAAATCATGTAAGACTTACACTTACACCCCAAAACTTAAGTATTTTGCTTCTTGACTCGTCTAGTATTTCAATCTAATGGTTCTCATGTGTCAAATTCAAAGTGTGTAACTCTATCCAAATAGATGTGACGCACAAAATTAAAGTTTAAAGGATATGAATAATATTTATATTTTTCAGTTAAAAATGATTCTTAAATATGTGAGAAAATACAATTAAATAATAAAAATCAACTATGACATCATAAAAAAATCTTTGGAGCGTGCAAAATAGCTTAAAAATTATAAGTCCACATATGCACAAACATAACCTAACCCAAGTGCAAGAAAATAAGTCAACCTGAAAACTTTAACTTTTTAAAATTGTCAACTTATAAAATTAATTACTCTCAATCAAAAATGAGTTTGAGAAATCTAATTGGACCATTATTATTTTGGACTAAAATTCATGTTGACTAATTTTATCAAACATTTTCTCAAAAGTTTAATTTTATTACTAAAATGCCCCTAATGCACATGATCCTACATTGTGGTGATTTTTCACAATCAATGTAATAAGTGTGCAATTTGAGTAAATATAATATAATTTTTGGTTAATAATAATAAGAAAAAATGTGTAATAAATGTGACTTATCAAAAGGCCATGGGGATTCAATCTCAAAGCTGTTTAGTGTATCATCAAGCACTTAGAAGCTCACATGAAAGCTGCTTGATAAAAGTCCCAAGCCATCAAGGGTGGAGCCAAAAAAATTTTACTAGGAGGGCTGTAATGAAAAAATATACTCTTTTTGTTTCTATATATAAGAGAAAAAAAATTATATCACATAATTTTAAAAAGTCAGTTATAATAATTATGTTTAAAAATGAAAAAGTGGGCTAAAATGCCCTGTATTAATCAACATAAGCAGATATTAGTTGTCTCTCATTAATGTAAATTATGAAAGGTGATTTAAAAACTGTGTAATAGATACTTATTGAAATAGACTATTTTCCTTAAAAAAATACAAGTTAAAAGTGGTACTTTCTCTAACAATAAAAAATATATCATAAATATTTCAACTGTACATTCTTATATTCAATTTTATAAAAATATAACAAAAATAAATATGTACCTTCACTTTTTATGTTTCACGCATCCATTTTTCATGGTATAAAAGTCATTAATTATCACATTTATGATAAAAATTTAAACAGTTTCCTTCTTAATATAAATTATTATTAAATTGATAAAAATATTATCTTTATTACGAGCACTGAATGATTTAAATGTATCATTGAAATCTATTACTTGCTTAATAAATTTACTTTTAATTCTTTTAATTGATAATCATGATAAATAAATATATCAATGCAATAATGATCTTGCTCAATTGTCACAAAGTCTTCACATTGATGAGATCAAATTATATAAGAACAAAAGCCATTTACATCATAAGTTTCATTACAAAAAAAAAAAATTAAAGAACATCCTAACTATAACCTCTTAAGCTTTTGGATAAGTAATTTTAAGATAGGTATCAAGCACATAACATTTAATATGTCTTGAAATTTTTGTTGCAATACTTTAAAAAATTTGTTGATCAAATGTAAAGTGAAAACAAAATCAAAATAACATCAATACTTTAAAAGAAAATATAGCATTATCTTGTTGAAAATAAATAAATTTTATAAAAACTATATCTCTAAACTATTGAAATAGTTACACTGTATATATATAAAAGATTGTATATAGAATTAAAATAAAAAATTTATTTAATATTTAATGCTTCTGTAATGTGTTAATTTAAAAAGCTAAAAATATATAACCTCTATATTTTATTAAAAAAAATAAAATAAAAAGTTAGAGGCTGTGATTCCTTGTCTCCACGACTCCACCCTTGCAAGCCGCGATCAGGCTGGCCTGAACAGTGACGCAAGAAGCGAATGATGACAGACCTGTGACTTGCGCATGAAAATTTCTGGTAGCTTTGCCAATGGCACCTCGCTATCCACATGGAAAATCATGGTGGGTTTATCCTTTAAGATATCGGGGTACCTTTAGTTGCCCCACCACCATCCATCCGTCCATGTCTTCAGCCTTCCTAGAAAATAAATAATAATAATAATAATAATAGAATGTTTTTCGTTGGTCAATTGACTCATGAAAAAACTGGCTACTCATGGAGATCATAGTTAGCTTTTCTACCTTTTCTATGTGAACAGAGGCCAAAGAGGAAGCAAGAAAAATGGAAATATAATACGTAAAGAGTACACAATTGAAAATGACAAGGCTCAATTATCACATTATTTACTACAACATGCATTATAACAGAAGGTCGAATCTTATATATATATATATATATATTGAATTTATATTCCTGATTATTAGCTACATTTTACACAACTGCATTCAACTGATCAACAGAGCATCTTTTGGTATGAAAGCCTAGTGGTCATGAGTATGATTAGGATTACAATTTGTTTGCTGCAAGAGACAATCACTAAATACTAAGATTCCAATAATGTTGCTGGGAAGCTGAATAAGAAACCCTTACTAAAAGTGATATTAAACAGTTATTGATTGGCGAAGTCAAACTGTAATTATATTACCCTGAGAGCAAGAAGGAAAAATGAGACATGATGAAATCTGTCTTAATGAGACAGAAGAAATTTATCTTAGTTCAGCCTCATTAACCCACATTTCATACAGCAAATGAGAAAATCTCAACAAAATTCAAACATCATGTTTGCTTAGTTTGATTGTGGGTCCTACCCCTATGTTGCGCATCTTGTTGGGGGCAATTATGGGGGTGTGACCCCTAGGCGTGTGTGATTCACACATTCTATGTGGTTACTTTTCAAATGGCTCAATGTAGCTCCTTTGTTCTTTAGATCTTTGCCTTCTATTCATTAAAAACAATTCATCTTATAATTCTGTCATCATAAAAATCAGGAATAGTACATGTTAATATTGGCTTTGGGAATGCGAGAAAAAAAAATCAAGGCAAATGAAAACCAAGATCTTCAAACACTGGGTGCCATCTGAAAACATTATGAATGATAAGGATTCAAAGGGGGTAAAACTAATAAACAAATTAACAAGCTTCTTCATTGGGAGTCAAGGTTCCACATAATGGAATCTTGGGCTTGACGTAGTGTAGAAATTTCCGCTTTCAGTGTCTGCCATCAGCACAAAGCCTCGAAACCTTCCCTCTCAATCCTGTCCAGGTTTGAAGGCCCCAGGCCCCTCCTTTCGAGTCTTCATTGCCCGCCTAAAAAGGAGCGACACAGAAGAAAAGATTGCTTCAACGAAGGGGGAAAAAAAGCATGGGAGCATGCCTCTTGGTCTTGGAATATGCAACAAACAGATTCCGTAGATTTTGGCATTGTTGAATGTCCCCACAATATGAAACAAGCGCCTCAAAAGTTTCTATCTTCATCATCATTAATTGCAGTTCGGAAAAGCAGGTTCTTCCTTCGTTACAAAATAAAGCCAGTAATTTAAATTAAATCTGACAGATCAATTCGAATTTAAATCTGAGCCCAAAAAATAATATTTTTTTAATATTTTATCTTATTTAGATAATTTGAATAGGCTCAAAAAAATTCAAGCCAAACCTAATTCATTTTAAATACTTAAATAAAAAATATTTCTTTAAAAATATAATATAATAAATATTAATTAATTTTTTAAATTTTATATCATTTTATTTTAAAATACTATGTATTTGAGTGTATTATTATAGTTTTTTTAAATAAAAATAGTTCTATTTTCCAATTTTTATTATTTTTAATTAAATAAAATATTTCAAAATAATATTTAAAATATATTTTAATATTTATTTTTATATTTTGAGATTCAATTTTTTTCAAAAAAAAAGTTAAGTCATATACATGATTTTCTTGTCCAAAAAATTATATTTTATATTTTTTATAAAATAAAATAATTAATTTTAAAATAAAAATAATTTTAAAAATAAAATTCGACCATATACGAATTCCCAACTCTACTCCTAAAAAAACATAATAAATAAAATAATATTCTTAAATAATTATTTGATTATCGTACCACGTTAAACTTAGTTAAAAATTAAGAATAAATTAAAGTAAGTAGGGCTTAAACAATATAAAAATTTAAAAAAATTTAAAAAATAATATTTTACTCATAATTAAATAATTTTATTTTTTATAATATAATGATGGCTATTTTTTCATATTTTTAATAATAAAAAGTATAGTTTACCCAATAGTTATTAAAATTTTTGAACTAATCAAGGCCATAATTTTAAGTTAGTGATTTTATTGTGACTGAATTGAAATTAACTTGATTATAATTAAAATATATAAATATTTTTATATGACCATGAAAAGAGTAATATTTAAAAAAATAACACATTAATTTACAAGTAAAGGAAACATTCATGAATAAATTGTATATAATACAAAAAATAATAACAAAGTTACTTAACTACAAAGTTAACAAGTTATTATTTTCTTTTTAAATTTAAAATAATATTTTATGCTGCATATAATTATTTAAAAATTAAAATTAATTAAAAAAATATTTTTCAAAAGTTTTGGGTATTCAGGCTGTTCTAAATAAACCTGAAACCCAAAGGTGTTAGAATTGGGCTTGGTTATATAGACTTTAAAAAAAATAAAATTCTTTAAGCCCGATTCGAATTGAGCCCAATTTGAATAAGTCTGACTCGTCCAAAATACTGGTTCTACTATATGGTCATATATTAGCAAAATGTGAAAAATTGGAGCATTTCAATTGAAAGAAAATGGCAACCAACTGGCAACCTTCCATTACGGCCTCTGTCCTTTGAAGAGATCATCAGCGATGGAAGAACACCAAGAAGTCGCATCTTAAAATGTTGTCCCCAAAAATTAAAATCTGAAAATACATTTGAACTGTAAAACCTTTTATCATGAATGAAGAGACGTTGAGTTGGAGGAGTTGAATTTTTGAACCAATGCATGATTTATGTATGATTTGGCCCAAGAGAGCGGAAAGCACACTTTAAGTTACTTGTATATTTACTCATGAGAGTGACTAAAAAACGGATTCTAAGGTAAAAACAAACATTCAAAACAGAGACCTAAAATTTATGGGCAAAGGTGAGGAAGGGTATCCTTATAGTAAAACCAAGCCACTCTTTTACATTCTCTTGATCAAAGAGCAGTAATCAATTAGACATGCAACAATGTCCTATATGATTGAAGAGGTCACGTAAAGTAAATGATTTTCAGTTTCTTTTTTTATTTTCGATCTCCTATTATTGTTTGAGGTGATTCATCCTGTTTTGGTTGAAGTCTGAATAAGTTATCCCTTATCTTTAAATCTTCAAGCTCTGAGGACTTTGTTGAATCTCTAGTCTTCGTATTAAGTACAGCATACTTCAATAGTTGAATCGGGCAATGATTCCAACTAAAATTTTTTAGTTACACATAGTACGCACATTTTCTCCCATCCTCAATGTAAGGTAAACTTAATCAATTTTATGCTTATTAAGAAATAATTCTTGTGCATCTAATCAAGATGAAATCAATATTTTCAATTAAAAAAATTTGTAACTATTCAATTTTATCTTCTTTATAACTAATAACTATAATGAATTGTTGTTTAGAAATTCAAATCATAATAAATAAAATTGAGGTAAAATTGAAAAATTTTATTATTCTTATTTTACTTTATATATATTAAGGACAATTTTTTTTCTTCCAAAATTTACATTACGCTCAGAATAAGAGAGAATAGAGCAGTGTGTGAGGGAATGGGACACCAAGAGCCACGGCCGTTGATACCAATAGCGTTGTACACTTTGACTCAAAAAAATTCATGGAAATTCGCTCGATGCTTATTGATATTAGAAGAGTTAACCCAAGCTTTAGTAATATGTTAATTAAAAGATAAACATTGGGCCCCATTTAATTATTAGAAAAAAATGAAATAGATTAAAAAATTAAAATAAAAATAAATTAAATCACTAAAACTTATTAATATATACTATAAATATAAAAATTATTGTAACATCAAAAAATTTTATGAATTATAATTTTTAATTTTATGAACAAAATTATTTATCTTTTTATGAATGTGATCACACATTTTTTTATCATCTTATTTTTTGCCTTTATTTTTTTAATGCATTCAATTTTATTTTATTTTTCAATAATCAAACAGGAATTAGATCTTTCAATGTGAACAAATTTTTGAAATAATTTAGAAGTTGGTGAGAATTTATGTTGTTGGACAAATGGAGCTTACTGATGCGTCGTATGGTCAAATCATCACGCTGGAAAGCCTGGGGGATTTTTCTGGTGGCTACTGCCTATTCTCCATGAATTAATCTACTTTTCTTTTTCGGGCCAAAGCATGAATTAATTTACTTAAGAAGAAAGATTGTCTCCCCTAATTCGGATATCGTACGCATGCCTTTTTTTTTTCCTTTTTTTTTCTAGGGGTGAGATCATGCATTTGGATGCTCTCATCATCCTTTCTCTTTTTTTTTTTCCCTCCTCATCTCATCCTCACCCTTAGATTAACAATTGAAATTTAATCAAATTCATTCATTTATTTTAATTATAGTATATAGTTAATTTACAGTTGTGAATTACTCCAGTTAAATTCGAACAGTTTAGATCTATCTATCTATATATTTTTATTATAATAGTTTTATAAAATATTAAATCCTAAGTGTTTAATTTTTGATCAACAAGGATCATAGGATGAGAAGAAGAAAAGGAGAGATAGGAAAAGGAAAGAATCCAGATTTTTGCATGGTTTTATTAGATTATTAACAACGTCTTCGACCCTTGTATTTGGGCCTATGGCCCATTATTGCTTCAGGAAACATAAAAACACTTGTAGCCTGCCACGTAAATGAAGAATCCATGACGTGTAAGTGTACGCGTTCTTTCCTAAATTCCCAGTCCTCTCGCTAAGTCGCTCTTCTCTCCCGTGGCCTTTGCCGTCCTCAGTCTTCAGTCTTCACTCTTCACTCTTCACTCTTCACTCTTCATTGAGAAGTCCGGGAACTGGGAACAGTAACGAATGGCGGATCGGTTCTTCCCAAACGTGTTGGCCGACTTCGTACCCGAATCTTCTCCTTCAACCCCTCAAGAACAACAAGACGCAGGTTCCATCGGTGCCCAAGATTCGCTCACCAAGCTCCTCGCCATGCCTTACGCGCCTCTTTCCGAGCGATTCAAGCGCGCTGCTTTGGACCTCAAAGAAACCGTGCTTATTTCTCATTCACCCTCACAGTTTTTTCTTCCTTGCTCTCAGTTCTTAGATATCACACCAAGTGTTTGTGGTTTTGTGTCAGATAGCTGTAGAGACTTGGGGCCTGACTGGGCAGCACATCCGGGACTTCACCCTTTATTGCGGGGTTCTTGGCACGGCTTTTCTGCTCTTCAAATCTTATCAAGTGACGAACAACAAGAATGATCTCAATCTCTCATCGCAGATTGTCAAGGCTTGTGATTCTGCCTCTCTTGGTTCTAGGTTCTATTAATTCTCTTCCATTTATTGGATAATATGCATTTCGGTAGTTACGGAGATGATTAAGGATTGAATGAATGCCAGGGACGCCACTTTTATCTGTGGACGTGCTGGAGTGTGTGCCCTTGGAGCCGTTGTGGCAAAGCACGTCGGTGATGAGCAGTCCCTGAGGTACTATTTGGCTCAGTTTGAGAAGGTATTCTGTTTGCTTTACTGGGGAAATTTAAAAAATGATGATAATATTGTGGAAGTAGCATCGCTTTCTTTGGAGTTCGGTGAGTGGGATTGGCAGACTAAATATTTGTGTTATGCAGATTAAGCTGCCAAACAATCTTCCTGATGAGTTGCTGTACGGAAGAGTTGGTTTTCTTTGGGCATGTTTGTTCTTAAACAAGCACCTCGGGCAAGGAACAGTTCCTTCCACTTATATTGTGAGCTTGGCCCACGAATACTCCTCCGCCATCATGTTATGTTAGGCTTACAGAATAAGCAAGAGTGGTATAAAATAACTGAAATATGTTTCAGGCTACGGTTGTGGATGAAATTATTAGAAGAGGAAGAGCATTGGGTAGGCAAGGAAGATGCCCGCTTATGTTCGAATGGTATGGAGAAAAGTACTGGGGTTCTGCGCATGGCTTGGCTGGGATTATGCATGTCTTGATGGATATGGAGTTGAAGCCAGATGAACTTGAGGATGTGAAGGGCACTCTTAAATACATGATAAATAATCGCTTCGCGAGTGGAAACTACCCTGCCAGTGAAGAAGATAGAAAACGTGACGTACTTGTGCACTGGTGCCATGGAGCTCCTGGAATTGCCCTTACTCTTGCTAAAGCAGCCAAGGTAAAGTTTGTTGTCTAAGGGTTTATATTGATTATATATGTCATTCAGATGGAATTTTTTCATGGGGACTTGAAATATTTCTGCTCTTTGGTTTCAACCTTCTAATCTCACTACTTTACTACATTTAATAGGTTGTTGTCAATACATTGAATGACTTATTCTTGATCACGTTCAAGGTTCCCTTCAATGTGATGGCAATAGTGCGGATAGTTTGTGAAATTGTCTGATTTACCGTTTGAAGTTTTTAAATACTTTGTTCTGGGAAGCATATTTTGGAGTGTTGAATATATTGCCTGGTCATTTCATTCAGACATGAGTACTGTTCAAACTGGGAATAGTAATATGGAATACAGTACATTGACATATTGGCATATATAAACTATAATCATAATATCATCATCATCATTATCATTATAACTTTAATTATGATTACTGATTTCTGCATGGTTATAGTTAAAGGGACCTCAGGGAAGCCAAATTCTTCTTAATAATTGATTAAGATTGCTCACGTACTCAAAAAGTTAAAACCACTGCACGCTGAATAAATGACTAACGCTAGCTCTCCTGCATAATAAAGCTGGACAAGATTCCTTTCTTGGTGAGTTTTGTTTAATATCTGATTATCTGGAGTACTTCTTCCAACTGCGCTGTGGATATTCTCAGGTTTTTGGAGACACACAATTTATGGATGCAGCTGTGAATGCAGCTGAGGTGGTTTGGAATCGAGGTCTGCTAAGACGAGTTGGGCTCTGCCATGGCATTAGTGGCAATGCTTATGTTTTCCTGTCACTCTACCAGCTAACCGGAAATGTAGTGTATTTATACAGGGGTAAGGCATTTGCTTGCTTTTTACTTGATAGAGCTCACAGGCTGATATCACAAGGCGAGATGCATGGGGGTGATAGGCCATACTCAATGTTTGAAGGGCTTGGAGGCATGGCATATCTCTTTCTAGATATGGTTGATCCTTGCCAAGCTAAATTTCCAGCCTATGACCTCTGACATTCTTGGAACGTACATGATATGGGAGCCACCGAGCCAGGCCTTATCTGTAACTGCTGTACTTACCGAGAAACGTTAGTGAAAATAAAAATGAGAGCCTTGGGTAGGTGACTTTTAATGAGCCCAGAGCATATGAGAGCTAAGATACAAACCTCATGGGCTTATGGCGCTTTCAATCTTTTTTGGCTTGCATATGATAGCAATCCTAACATCCTGTTTTGTCATCTAGTTTAACAAATGACATTTGGAGCTTCACTGCAACTTCATCTAACATAGCTACTTATGAGACCTATAGTGCCACTTTAGGCACAAGCTTGCAGAAACTCAATATTGTTACTTTGTGGAAACTAATTGCCAAAGCAAATCGTGAGGTATGCAAATATGGGATTCTGTCCTTACTGTCAACATTTTTATTTTGTCATAAATTACGCGTTTGCCCTATGTCAAACTAGATAATTCCATCCTTTCACCACGTCTTTTTTTTTTTTTTAAATAATATTAACCCTCTTCGGGTTTTCACCATCTTTGCGTTAATCATCTTACCCGAAAGCAGAGAAGGGGCGGCGCAAGAGCAGATTGCATGTCAGACAGCAAATGTCAAACTTTAACTTGGAAGATATCGAATATTTATTATATGTACACAGTATGAAGAGTATCAACCATTTCATGCTGAACTGCAGCTCAGGTTTTCTTTGTTGTCCGTTCCATCGCCGCGGACAAAATCTCGAACTAGCTTTATTCCCTAGATTTGAACTTTATTATATATAATCACAATGCAAGCACAACCCTGCTACACGCTCATACAAGTTTTACGACTGGATTGAAATTTTAGACAAATCAAACAGCTTAGAAGTGATCCCGACAGAAGAGGAAGAAAGAATCACATCTCATATGAAGCGAAAGCATTGAAGTTTTAGCGTCGAGGTAGATAATCAGCTGCTATGCTTGTTGAGGAACTGGATGATGTGGTGGTTCACCTTCTCTGGGACTTGTTCGTGCACAAAGTGGCTTCCATCCGGCTCGTATATGATCTCCAAATTTGGCACAAAATGCTTAACTGACCCGCTTCGTATATAGTCCTCCATGCCCGGAAACTTCAGAACATAATCTTTCTCACCCACTATCAGCAGTGCAGGGACAGTTACTTTAGGATCAGTTATGCCACAATCCACTGCGAGACTCCTGCACGATCATAAACAATCGGATGCAGCAAATAGAACAACAGAGGCTGCTGTCTGTTCAAGGGATGGTGAGAGCGTAATTACCTGTAAGGAACCTGCAAAGCAAATCTGAAACCAGACTTTTCATAAAGCGAGGCATAAGTTGCGAGGTCTTGCTCTGAGAACCAAGGTGGTAAGGCAGCAGATGGGTCGAACAAGTCCATGATTTCCTGATCATCATCGGCTATTGGGATGTCGGTTTTAGAGAAGAGAGTGTAGATGTTTCTTATGACAGACTTGACGTCAAAGCGGGCAAAGTCTGCTTCTGCCCTCCCAGGCTCCTGAATTCAGTTAACATGTTAGCATCAACCCTAGGAGGAAAATGAAAATGATGATGACAGCGAAAGAACGAATTTGTACCTGCCACCTAGTCATATAGAAGCCTTTGGGGAGAAGGTGGTTCTGGACAGCAGAAGGACCCGGGAGCATGAAAGGAACGCCTAAAGTTACGACACCAATCACTTTTTCTGGGTGCACAACACCTACAAGATATGCTGGGAGGGCACCAAAGTCCTTGCCCACAAGGAAAGCCTGATACAAACCAATGAAATAGCACATACATATGATTTTTTTTTTTTGGCTAATTTGGAATTGAAGCTCACAACTCACACGGAGGGATTCAGTCGTTGGCGATGAAATTTCTGATATATGAAATCGAGAAAGAGAGAAGCAGTTTTGAGCATCAGCAGGAGTTTAGTAAGCTCTAGGACTGCTTACCTTGGTGATGGTCAAGGAATCCAGAAGGCCAGCGACTTCATCAACGAGGTCATACAAGGTTGCTTTTTCTGGGTCGGCCGGATGGTCGGAAAGTCCATAGCCTCTAAAGTCAAAGGCGATCGCTCGATAGCCAGCGCTGGCCGCAGCAATCATCTGGTACCGCCATGTATACCATATTTCCGGGAATCCGTGCAAGAATACCACTGCCTTGGGACCTGCACGAATAAAGATGATCCATAAAAAGAAGTAGGAAGAAACGAATCAACAACATTGCTGTTGCAAACCGACAATAGCCTCGTAGGTTTTCAGGATCTGACCACTTCCAATCTCAGCCACATGCAACTTCACTCCCTTCACATCAACATGACTGTGCTTAATATTTTCCATCGCCGATTGAGAGAGAGCGAGTGTACAGAGTTTGAGGTTGAAAGGAAATGGTGAGAGCAGAGACCAGGAATCTGAAATTTGCAAAGCCCTCAGCCAAGTCAGTCTCTTGCGCCAATTCATTAGTCAATACTAGTCATCCTTCTCTGCTCAGAGTGACAGCGAGTGGGTTGTGGTTTTTCATTTTGATTGTGACTAATAACGATTTGTTTGTGGCTATAATTGTTCTCTCTCTCTCTCTCTCTCTCTATATATATATATATATATTCAACACTGTAATTGATAGTTTATCAATGAAATGAAGAATTGTCCAATACTCTGGTAGGCAGCAAACTCAGAGCCTAGAAATTGCATTGGAGGACTCGAATTATTGCATATGTTTTGACTTTTGAGGGAGATGAAATATCAATTTACTAGACATAATTGTGCCCATCAATCTTCTTTTACTCCCTTACTCAATATTTTTTAAAATTATCCTCATTAATTTTGAACTTTTGCTCATTCTCTTCTTTTACTAATACTCTTATTAAAAGAGGGATATTTTAAAAAGTGGCACATAATTTTTAAACAACAATAACAAATAATCAATTCAACCAATTTTTTTAATCACCTTGAATTAGTTAATAAGAGAGAGTAGCACGTTGGGCATGTGATATTAATATAATGGTACGAGTTGGTTTTTGGTAGAAACGAAAAATAACAATTAAACTAAGGATTAAAAGGTAAAATTATATATGAATTTTTTTTTTCCAAAAGCACCTAATTTATTTAGCTTCTATTTGGTTGGAGAAAGAGAAATTTTTTCCTCCCCTTAGAGGAGCCCCTTCCCTAGAACTGGGAATACGGGCGGGCCCAACCTTTAAGACCTTGAGCCCTAAAGTCTGGTTCTCTATTTTGAACTTTATTTCTCAAATCCGGCCCTTATGTAAAGAGCTCAAGGTCGGGCCCGCAAGCCTCTTTTTTAAAAAAATAAAAAAATAAAAATAAAATTAAACATTATAAATTAATTAAAATATTCTGAAATTAAAAAAATAAAATATTCATAATTTTTTAAAAATTAAATAACACACATTTAGAAGTCTAATAATAAAATTTAAATCTTGGTTAAAACATAATTTATTTTTTATAAATATGCAAACATAATAATTATAGAAAAATAAAAAATATCAGCAATTTTATACTATACACTGATATTTATTAAATTATATTAAATTAATTTTAAAATAAATTAAAATTAATAATAATATAATATGTGTAAAATCAAGTGAGCAAGTCATTAGCTTCAAATACGTGTTTTACTAAAAAAATAAAAATAAAAATAATATAACAGGATTTGAAGAGCTACCCGAACCTGAATCCTTTTTTACAGGACTTATCAGGGCCAAGCCCTTAATTTCAATTATTTTAAAAAAATTTATTTTTAAAATTTAAACCTTTTTAAATAGACCTTTAAATTTAACTCTTCAAATCTAATCTTTATTTTCGGCTCCGCCCTTTTCTTCCCTTTCCCATTCAAACAAGTGAAAAAAGGTGAAAAATACCAGTAACATTCATTAATAGGTGCAATCATGCTGAAATTGTTAGACGAGGAAACGTCCATCACATTCTTTCACAGTTATCGCCATGTGTTGCCAAATTAGCCATTGACTTTTCCTCCCCTTCTAAATCAGCCTTCTCTCTCTTCTCATTCTCTCCCTCGCACCCCCGCACTACTCATTCCCTTTCCGCTTCACCCCCCCGGCGGACCACATCGAGGTTTGGCCTTGGAGTCTACCATTCTAGAGTTCAAGGTCTGTCTTCCTCCCTGATTTATCTCTTCATCTAATTCTTGAACTTGCACAGTTTAGTTCACAATATGGCAAATCTTGACAGACGACAATTCATAACAATATGAAATTCAATTCAATGATTTGAAAGAGAACCGAGACGGCATGAAGGTTTCACGTTTTTGAAGATTATACTGATCGGAAAGACGAAGAAGGGAGAGGAAGCAGTGAGGAGGATAATGGAAGAGCTTGCCAAAGACTACAAAGGGAATGCGTACAATCTTATCACCTATAATTGCAACCATTTTTGCAATGACGCTTGTCCATTAAATTTAGTTGAATTTTGAAGCGCCCACAACATCCCATATACTAAAAGAAATTCCAGCTCCTCGAACAAATAGAGTCTTGCTCCATCTCGCGGATCTAGAATTTGATGATGTAGAATGCTTTAACCAAAGTTGCCATCTTCTTTTCCTCGAATTGAGCCAAAATTAAATTTTGATTAGTTTAGGGATTTGGGGAGTTGAGCATCAATGGAGAAACCAAAGCATTGAGCAGCAAAGACATCAACAGAGAAAATGGTAGACAATCGAAAATGTCACACAGGTAGTGGGAGTAGACCAGAATCTTGTCCTAAATGAACTGGAACAAACGACCAATAAAGAATACCTTTTCAAGGACGCTTAAGTGGACGTTGATCGAAACAATGTTCCTGCAAAGGTAAGTCATTTTCTCAGTGGTATTGTGAATGATTCTGGCCATAAGGGAGAAGAATAAAAGCTTCAAGTACTCTCATAGCTAATTAGCTGCTTACACGTGTGTGTGTTTTGTTTTTGTTTTTTTGTTTTTTGGGTTTCTCCAAAGGATGTTTAAGGGGAAATGAAAGGGAATGAGCAAAGTGAGTGTTGGGGTCAAGAGTCGTTATGAGTGCATCTGTTTGAAACACAATTGCAGCTAAGCCCATTGTCCGTTTCTGCCTATAATATCCGATGTTCTTCCGCCACCTAGACTACCAAGTAGAGAAACTATACTCAGAATACCAATAAGAAATTCTTCCTTTACCTCTGATATCTTCAGGTTTTCTTTGATAAGTATAACAGCTCCACTCGTGACACTGTCACGAACAGGCATGCTAAATTGATGGACCGTATCTATATGGAGGCATTTATTGGGCCTGAGATACTAATTTTGGGCTTAGGGCTTACATTGAAGGAAGTTATGGTATATTGAGGAGGAGAATGCGGCACGGAAAGGTGTGAATTATTTTGTGAAAATCGTCTCCCTCTGTCGCTTCTCTTCTCTCTGATATTTCTTCTCTGTTCCTTCTGCAATTTCTATTGTATCTGGTTCAAAACCTGTCATCAAATCCGCTTAACATCAATGAGAAGTATTTCCATAGCATAATATTTCAGTACCTGTTCTTATTGATTTATTTGAGCAAGAGATTGTGACAGACACCTACGTCTGTAAATTGACAGAATAAACCATATCAGCTTCTCTCTCTCCATTCCAAATAAGCAACAAAGCTAGCCCTCAACACGACTTCTCAATAAATTTCGTAACTCTACAGTTGAACAAGACAAAATCACTATCTGCTCTAATGGTTATTGGGAAATCCAAATACAAGGTAAATCAGATAATCTCTTGGCTATAACGAGCAGTTTTGAATTTCTTGAAAACATGAGTTCGAAGTGTTTTGAATAGTATACAGATAGAAGACAAGATAGTAAATATATTGTCTGAACTTCATTAACAATATGAATACCATGTTGAATGATAAAGGAACCAAAAACCAACGACATCAAGGCAAAAAGTGAAGATGATTGCAGTAAAGAACAGGAAAAAAGTACAAATTTTGAGGAAGCAAAAGGAAAAGGAGGGAATTTATGTGGCGTACCATAACCGAGAAGGACATTGTTGAGAGATGCAAAGACGGCATAGGCAAGGACATATTTCCTGGCTCTTTTGCTCCCAAGTTCTTGGTGGTATTGGTCGAAACCATCATGGAAATCCTCAGTATGGTCAGAGTCCATTCTCCTGTACTTGTTCTTCGTGTCCAAGGGGATTGCAGACAACCCCTAGTTCCCCATTCCCATGTTCTTGAACTCCCATCTCAGGCTCAGCTCATTCTGAATTGCTCTGCTTGATCTGATGGCGGAGAAGGAATTGTTGAGACTTGAGTTTGAGGTTTTAATTTGGACCCCTACATGTCTGGGATTGATAAAGCATGAATTGGGTTTTAGATCTGAAGCAAGAAGAGACCCCTGAATACAGGGGCAGGACTTGGAAGTCAGAGTCAGAACCAAGAAAAATAACCCCTCGGCGCAATATCACACGTCGATTGGGATTATAGGACACATCACAAGGAATTGACCGCCCACTCTGTCAAAGCCAATACCATGGATGACCCAAAAGGAACAAAAAAGGCTCAGTCCATGGAGCAGCTGTAGTAGGTCGTGTCGTTGCTCTTTAAAATATCCGCTTTCTTGGTTTATTCAGCGTATTTATCAAAATTAATAAGATTCAGTGACCACCACGGCAAAGAAAGGCACCATTCTTATCAAGATTTTTAATTTAACTCATCGATTAGAAAATATTATTTTTTTTATAAGTACAACTTATAAGTAGAGATGAAAATTCAAGCGGGTCGAGCCTGTTTAAGTCAGACTCTTTAAAAAGCTCAAGTAGTTAAGTCCAACTTGAATTTCTTTGAGCAGTCAAAATATCTGAATTTTATTTTTAATTAATTTTTTTGCTTTAAAATGAATTATTTATTTTATAAAAAAATATAAAATATATTTTTGGTACTTAAATGATGTATGAGACTCAAATATATGATATTTTAATATAAAATAACCTAAAACTTAAATAATTAATTAATATTCATTATATTTTATATATTTTAAAAAAATAAAATTTTTTATACGAGTATTCGGACGGGCCTGAATAGGCTTGAACATAAAAAAATATGTTTTTTTTAAGTTCAATCTTAAATTTTTTTTAGGTGAATTTAAATTTGACCTAAATTACCGGCTCTACTTATAAGAAGTAGACCTTGCTGGCTAGAAGGAGTATTTCATTGTCTTTTTTGATTATACGTGCGCTGCTGGTAAATATGACAGTCGACTTTTTGAATGCATGGCACGAGTAGCGTTGAGGTTTGTTTCTTGGTCTTTAAACAGTGTTAATAGTTGAATTCTTCTAAATGCAATCAGGAAAGAAAAAAGATGAAAAATAAGTTAAACAGGTTTTTTTCTTCATCACTGAACGAAATTTAAAGTACTGTGGACTGTGGAGTTGTTACATATAGGCAGGCCAGACTGGGGATGGGACTCATAAAAATCTGAGCGAGGGAATCTTTTGCCCTTTCTTTTCGATTGTTTTTCTGGTTTGTGAACCATCCAGCCAGCAACGACGATTTTTTTTGTCATTTAGTCATTTCACCACATTACCGCCATCTAACCTTATTAGATACCTCACCACGGAAAGAGCGTGGTGCACTGATCGTTGGTGGCTTTAGAACAAATTGATAGGGTGATGAAGTTGACCAAATTCGCAACAGTTATTCTTCCGGGGATTTTTGGACCACAAAAGACCACCTCATAAATTAGAATCCACCCCCAGCTGTGAAGTTGTTTTCCTTAATGAATATACGATGAAATTTGGATTGTTGATGATCCAATGATCATTGGAAAACCATGTGCATGTTTGATCCCCATGGGCCATGGCCATATGCTACAAACAGTGTCGGGTCACAACACTTACTATTGAGGAACCATTCTGGGCAGGAGCAAGCTGCTTGTGTCCTCAACTGTAGGAGCCCCATTCCAATTAATACGCTTAACTTTGGAGCGGGCCATAGTTAGAATGACGTGGATGGGTTTGGGCTGCGCCTGACTAATGCGGGATTACGTTGATTTTGGATGAGCTTTTGTTTTGGTGCACTTGACTTGCCAGCTCCCTCCGGCAATTGGGATTCAGGGTACGGCTTCTCTACTCTTCGAATTCATGTCACTCTCACTTTTCATAGTAATTACTTCTACCTGCTTAGTTTTTGTGCATTCAATTCAATTCATGCCCAATTTCATTTGTCCCTTCTCCAATACTTATCCCCCCTTCTTCTTGTCTTTTCTTATTGCATTCACCTAATTCATAAAAAACATTCATAAATCCAAATCATCCTTTTTCCTTCCACTTTATATTCTTTCAAATCACGACATAACTTGAGGCCATTACTTTGAGAGATGACAGAGGACAAATAATCTAACACGAATTTGAATTTTTCAATATCAGCCAGACATCATTTGCTTGAGGACAGATAAAAGGCAGGAAGTGAGGGGAAGAAAGAAAGGAAAGGGAATTTCACATACACACTACTCGTCCCTTTGGGGACATCCGATAAAATTGGAACATACATACTACTTGACATCACTCAACGGAATAACCATAAGTGAGGAACAATTTAAATCAACGCATTTCTCCTATTGTACAGTACATGCAGTTTGAGGTTTTAAAATGGTCCCATGCATTGATTTAAATAAACACAAAATATATATAGAAATTCATATAATTCCACTCAATTTTGAATTAAATTCCTGCAATTTATTTTGTTTTAATCAAACCCTTATAGTTTGATCTATTATATATGTTAATTTCTAAAGATTAAAATTAATAATAAATTATTAAATTTTACAAAGCCAAAATACTCTTGGAATTTACAGAAAATTTAATTTAATACTTTTAGCTAAAATTCAAAAATAAAATTTGATTTAATACACTATTTATATTTTTATAAATTTTTATGAAAATTCTATATGTATAAAAAATATTTAGAAGACAATATAATTATATAAATGTTAAGTTATAAAAATTATGTAATTGGATTTAAAGTCATATAATCATTTAATAAAAATATAAAAGTTCTTAATTTTGATTTTTTAAGGAAAGTTTTAATGATTTTAATTTTTAGGAATTAAAAAAATTAATTGATCAAACTTTAAGGGCTTAATTGAAACAAAATAAATTGTAAGCACCTAATTTAAAATTAAGTGAAATTGTAAGGGCCTAAAAATATATTTTCCCTTTAGAACATGATTTGGACGAAGTGATTGGGGAAAAAGGATAAAGAAGTATGAAAAATATTTTGAAATACCATACTCTTGTTATTGAAGTGAAGAGAATGGGAGCAAATCAAGATAGGCCTCATCACTTTCTAGAGACATCTATATCTCTCTTTTTCTCACTCATTTTGGCTGAAGTATAACTCTTTAGGGCATTCTTAATTTTTTGAATCTTGAAGAAATGGAACCCAGTTCTAGTCTTGCCCATAGTTCTAAGAAGTAATGTGTCTTGTGGGGAAAAAGAATTAAAAACTTTAATCAAACAGCTCCTGCTTAGAATTCATATAACGCAAAAACATTTGAAAAATCAGATTGTCGCCTTCGTCTCAAGTCATTGTTAAACTGCAAAACCATACCAAACGTCGTATGGAGAGGACCATAAACTTGGGATTTGGTAGGATAAGGACACAATTTGACATTTGATTTTCATTTGCAACGCTGTCTTTTGATGACAGAAAAATTGATGGCAGTAGCCGCACCTTGGTATAAAATAATGGGTTTGGTTGAAGTTGAAGAAACAAACATGAGATGCAAAACTTAGCCAAAATGGCTACGTCTCCCGAGCCCTTAGATATTTTTGGATCCATAATTATGACCTTCATTATGCTGAAGTTTAATTAATCACATGATTGTGAATTAACATCGTTATCGTGCCGTCGCGACTAAGAAATGTTGATCATGATCTCACGAGGCCGGTGAGCGGGCCCGCCTCCATCCATCATCCCCTTCAAATTTTTAATTATTATTCCGAACAATCAATTTGGAATAATAACATCCAAAATCACAAGTGCCTATATATGTGTGTGTGTGTGTGTGTGTGTGTTATGACAACTAGAAAATGATACATACTGTCATCAGAGAACGACAGACTAAAATAGCTAAGCACTAAAATAACTAAGCATAGAAACTACCAAATTTTGGAGTAATTAATAATAATAATAATAATAATAATATACACCATCCTTGGAGCAGGAAAAAAAAAGCTCATAACGGATGCACCATAAGCTAGGAAATCACAAAACCCTCTCCTTCAGCCCTGGTTTCAGCATTAAATGCATTAAAGGTTTAAAAGAGACCAAGAGGAAAAGGAAACAAAAAATAAAAATAAAAAAAGGAAAATGACCATGTGAGAGACGTGCTCGTGAATGGTGATTACAAGGCACAGAGGCTGTGTGGTTTAAATATCCACAACCAGTGAGAATTAAGAACCTATGCAGAAAGAATTTTATCACGACCTTTCCAGAAGAAGGGTCTCACGGGACAAGTAGAGGAGGAAGTGGAAGAATCTGGTAGTCCGGTATTATCTTCTTCCTGTCTGCGAGTATCCGCATCCTTAAATTCCCGGTGATTAGGATTGAAAAAGGAAGCTGCGACTGAAACGTGTCCAAATCATCCCACATAGGGCTGCCCGGACCCTAACCTACAACATTCTAGATTTCAATTCTAAGAATTTTAGTTGTTTAGAGGGGTATAATGGTAAAAATTAAGTGAATTTTTTATTAATAATGTTTTTAGGAGACCAATATAGCTAATAGATTATTGGATAACTTTAAAAGAGGATTGGATCGGAGTTTGAGCGGGCCATGGCATAGAGGAAGGTTCAAGTCGTGAAGGAAATTCTCTATGTTGTGTGTCATGGTGAGCAAGCCAATGAGCTGCGATGCACATGCAAAATTTACATTTATCAGACTCGCGAAATCGGATCAAAATGAGAAGTGCAAAAAGATCGATCGTGAGGAGCAAATGACCGATGGGTGTTAAGGCTCAACCTTTGGACTAATTTGGAAGCATTTGGAGCAAGATTTACTATTAGGTAAGCTTCCTACACCTCTCTTTCTCCCTACATTTTGAATTTCTGAAAATTTAGGGTATTTTGGGTTGAGATTTCAGTTGTTCTTGGTCAATGATCGAACCTATTGGCTTAGGTAAGTTCTTAAGAAGTTAAATTAAGCTTTTAATCCTAGGTTTATGGGTTTTGTATGGACTTGGAGTTTTTGGCTATGGGTTGGATGAACCCTAAGTAAGAATGGAAAGATTAAGAGCAATGTAGGTAAGTTTAAGTGTTTAGGTGTTAAATAAAATTAATGAAGTGTATTGGGAGGATTGTTGGGGATAAATCAAGGTTTTGGGCATAATGGGTACCCAAATTTGTGTTATAAATGGGGTAATTAGTATGTGGATTGATGATTAGAA